GGGTCTAAACATGGTGCTATAAGAAACTGTCGTGGACGTAAATCTGTTTTTCCTGCTTTGGAGATGCCCTTGGTCAAATTGATTCTGACTGACAGTGTTGGGTTACAAGAGTAACCCTCGTGTGAATTTTTGGTTCTATTTCTCTTCTTGCTGTGTGCCTTTTGGGTGCATTGAAATGACAGTTCTGCAAATACCTGGGGAGGAGATCAGATCTCAACAGGTGTCAAGCCCTGTTGAAGGTCCCAGTTGTCCCTCCCATTTTGGTTTTCTCTCTGCAAGCTTTTTGAGATATCTGCAATTGTCCATAAAACTGTCTAAAGCAAACAAAACCCTACCCTGTTAGATCCATTAGCTATCAAATTTTGCCACTTGAAGTAAGGAAAAAAAGTATAAATCTGTCTCCCTTAACACGCAGAATAAAAGGGTGTTGTGACTACTAGCATGCACCAGGCAGCGCTGCCAGCTGCCTTTTGTGTTTCAGCAATATACATGTGTTAACAAAAAGCTCCATCTGTGTGTGTGTTCATGCTGTGTACATAGCAGAGATGGGCCTGATACTACCTTGAGCTCTGGAGAGATTGGGATCTGGGTTCTGTGACTCAGACCCATCTCTGATGTGCATATTCCAGAACAGTTCCAACTGAATCTTTCTCTGGTTTGTCCTGGGGTGTATGGCACAGTGTCCATATTTACCCATTGTGTATCATTCCTTTTTTTATACGAATGTATTCTCTTGTGTTCCTTTTTTTTTTTCTTTTATCAATTGTAAAATTGATTGTAAAAGCCAACTACACTTTACCGATCGAAAGTATTGCTATAACAGAACTGCATGCCCAGTAGAGTTTGACTTGAGCTTTAGTTTTCAGATTTCAGACTGGTTACCTTCGGTCTAGGAGAAAAGCATAGATCAAGTGCATAATGTATTACTCGTCATCTTTAGCATTAGACTGTGGTATTGTATCACATGCTGATCTCAATGGATGTAACTGGAGTCTACTTAGGAAGTTAATGCAACTTCCTGGGAATTCATTTTAAGCTATTGGAAGTGGTCTTGATCATGCTACTTGTGTTCTTGGGTTTTTGTTTTTTAATAGAGGCATTTTTTTAGGAATGTTTTAATACACTTATGATGGACAATACAATAGTTTTAATAGTTGTGCAGTATTCTGTATTTACTTGAAGTAAATCATTTTATATGCAATTTGTTAGATAATTACAATTTTATAAATAAAATTGCGTGAAATATGATGTTGTGAACGTGTACTCTTGATGTGGCTTTTAACATTAATGGTCCAAAGACGTGTTTGTGCAGAATTCCTCCAGAAGACTCCTTGCTTGCCCTCCCCGAAACTAACAGGGGAAACAAGTACCTGAGTGTGTCATATACCACATAGAATATCATGTTCTAATTAAGTCACAAAACAAATTATCATGCCTCCAGTGGCTGCCCTTACATGAATAACAAGGTAACACATGAAGAGCGTATCCCCGGGTGAGGAGATCCCGTATCTGCTGTGAGCTGTGGCTAATGAATGTGCTTTGCTGCTTTCTGACAGGTCATCGATGTTTCTGGGACTGCAGTGGTTGCACATGACTACAACTGTTGTCCCTCTCCCCATGATCGTTTTAGTGACCTTGAAGTGTTTGGAAGTTGCTGCTTTACAGGGAACTGCAAAAAGGGGATTTGTCACAACAAACTTTTGTACGGGCAGTATCACTTTTCTGAGTGCTACATGTCCTTAAACAAAAGTAGTGAGAGCTGGCTTATTTTTATTCTTCAGGTAAAAATGGGTGATGCTGTCTTGTGCTTTTTCAGATGAGAGGAAAAGCAGTGTGGTCTCTTAGTATTTCAGAAGCTGTAAGGCAAGTTAATCCGATATTTCAAGCCTACGTTTTGTCTACAAATCACCAGTATGACTGATTTAAAAGCACATCTCTCTCTGAAATGAACTATAATGCCTTTTGCATATTTCAGGCTTATACATTTATCTGGACTTACAGAAATGACTTGGTAAAATAAGAATGGAAATGTGGAGGCCTTAGGCGAGAGGGAAGAACAAAAGTCAACCAAAAAAGAATAAAACTTGAAGGCATTGCCTAAATCTTCATAACGTGTTTGCTGTGACACACACAGATAAGCTATTTTCACGATGGAGAGGGAGATGAGGAGTGGCCATCTGCACTGTCAGTCTCTTAACAGGCTTGTGTACTGCTCATATTGGTTTTTGAAGTTGTGGCTAGTTACCATTTTTAGGACTTTTGAAACAAATTAGAGTTTTCTGGGTCCCATTTAACAGATGGGTCCTCTGATTCAAGGCCTGTATTGCTGAGGTTTGTGCCATAGTGAAACTTCTCCTTGTATTTCCACATGGTGAAATACTCCCTGACCAGTGTCAGGGAGACTAAGGATATGGCTAATGCTTAACCCAAGGTCCAGTTAGACAACCGGGTGAATGAGAGTTTTGTTGGTGTCACATTGTATTGGTTGCAATCAGCTTGTTTGAGCACTTGCGGTTTGTGGTGATGTTAAAAGGACTATATCCTCTTTCTAAAACTGGGTAAGTCACTGACAACTGGTCTTTCAAATGTCTTTTTGGTTTCTATTTAAATCAATGGAAATTGTTTTTGTGCCTCATAAAACTTGGGCTTGTCTGGGTCTGCTATGATGGTGAACATGCTGGTTATGTTCAGCAGTGCAGAGGTTCTGTGTTGTTTCGAGCCTGATGTCACAGGGTCCTGGTCTGTGTTCAGTAGCTTTACTGTGCTGTTACCAGCAAGTGTCTTCTGATTTTTTCTTTTATTTTATTTTTTAAATAAGAGGCTGTTGTACAGTTTACTATTAAGAGGCTTTTTCTGTGTGTTTACAGTGCTGGATTAGATGGACATGGAATCTCTGCTGTGTGAATATTTCTATAGTGTTTGCTGTGTTTTGGTACTGTCTCAGGAGCTTAAACTAACAGTTTGAGGCAAGTTTCTTTTCATGTGCAGCTTGTGTGCATGGTCCCTTTCCCATCATGACTGGTACCTTCCCATCTGTGGGATAGCCAGTGGTTTCATGGAGCTGGGAAAGTCAAAAGCAGGGTTTTTGCAACGACGTGGCACAGGCTGGCGAACTCCAGCGCCAGGAGCGCTGAATTTGCTTTAAAATGTTACCAGTCTTATGATCATTGTGCATTGTGGGCTTAACCAAGCTAGACAATGGTATAGCACGGTCAAAAATAATGTGTGCTGGCTTGCTAGAAACTGCTGTCCCAGGTGCTCCCTGTTTTTGCCAAAGAGTTGTCTGCTGGTGCTTGCTGGCATGCTACAAACCTACAAAAGAGCACCTACTAAAATAACCCCAACAAACAAAAACCCTAATCCCAAGCAAGCCTGAGAGCACTCGTGTCCACAGGGCTTCGTGGGATAAGGATTGGGCAGTGTGTTCCTGTTAAAGCACACGATTGTTAGACCACACAGTGCCTCTTTGTGAGCGCACACGCACAGTGAGAGTGGCTGGAATGTGTTTGCTCAGCTGAAAGGCAGTGATGGTGTTGGGGCCAGAACCAGGAATGAAGAGGGCTCCTCACTGGTGTGTGATGGTGCCGTCGCAGCTTTGTGTGATTACAAAAAAGAACAAACCACAGGATAAAGTGAGAGCACTGAAATTTTTATTTATTACCTCTAGGTACCACGAGTTTGACATTAATAGGCAAGACCAGTGAAGGAGCAGCAGTACATTGCATTCAAACCTGAATCTCCAAAGCACCAAAAATGGAGCTAGATTTACTTTTTAATCCTAGAGTCAGCACACTAGTCTGGACTTGCTGCATCTTGTACTGTCCCTAATTTAGTAGTACATTGTTACGCAGTTAGGGGCGTGAGGAAAGAGTCGTGTAGTACCACTTCTACGTCATCATAGGACTACAACATGCACATTCTACTATGTGGCCCAAGCAACAAGAATACAAGTAGAACAGTTACGGGTGGAGACAGATTCATGTTAACATCACCTATGAATTTGTAGAAACCTTTTTGGATGAGTACCTACAGCAGTTCATCAGTTTGTGTGGGAACATTACACGCATGCACGAGTGATACAGTGGAAGACAGAGCAGGAGCGGCAGCAGGACAGAGGACAAAGGTGAAATCTGTGATGGGATGTGCTGGAAATGAGACCTTCCTCAGCTTTCTACAGCGAGTCTCTGCTCTGTTAGCGAGGCCTGCTGGGCAACGGTTTTGTTCTCATGGGTGCGGAGTTTTGATACAACTTCTAGAAACGCCATGCTCTGCACTTCCTTTTGAAGAGGTTCTGGAAAAAGAAATAGTAAAAGAAAACAGGGCTTTGTGTGAGGTGGGCAGAGGAACAGAAGAGCTTGGCAAGCACGAGAAACTTTTCTACTGAACTGCGTACATGTAAGCACACAAACGTGTGTATGCACATAACCTTCATATTTACTTTTTTGAACGGCTTTTGAGGATGGAAAGAAAACCCTCCAGGGCCTGGGGCATGCACAGACTCCACGGATTTCAGGCAGAGATGAATGCTCAACATGAGCCAGCAGCGCACTTATGCAGCCCAGGCGGCCAACCGCATTGTGGGATGTATCAAGAGGAGTGTGGTCAGCAGGTCAAGAGAGGTGATTCTCCCCCTTTACTCTGCTCTTGTGAGACCCCATCTCGAATACTGCGTCCAGTTTTGGTGCCCCCACCATAAGAGGGACGTGGATCTGTTGGAGCGTGTTCAGAGGAGGGCCACAAGGATGATCCAGGGGCTGGAGCACCTCTGCTACCGAGGACAGGCTGTGGGAGCTGGAATTGTTCAGTCCTGGAAAGAGAAGCCTTCGGTGGGACCTAATAGCTGCCTTCCAGTACCTGAAGGGAACCTACGGGAAGGCTGCGGAGGGACTTTTTACAAGAGTGTCCACTGATAGGACAAGGGCAAAGGGGTTTAAGTTGAAGGAGAATAGATTTAGATTGGACCTTAGGAAGAAATTCTTCAGTACGAGGGTAGCAAGACTTTGGAATAAATTGCCCAGAGATGTTGTGGCTGGGCCCTCCCCGGAGGTGTTCAAGGCCAAGCTGGACGGAGCCTTGAGTAGCCTGATCTAGTTGAGAGGTGTCCCTGCCCATCACAGGGAGGTTGGATTAGATGATCTCTAAGGTCCCTTCCAATGTAAGTCATTCTGATTCTATGAATGATGCTGATGCTGCACAGCAGTTGAGAAAATCCACTGGGGTTGCCTTCCAAAACAGAGGCTTAGGAAGTATTTTTAGTGAAAGTATCTTTCTGTTCTATTCCTTAAACTAGCCTGACTTGAACTTAAACTAGCTTGCCTTGAGAAGTTCACTACATCGTTGTTCTGTATCGAATCAGGTCTTTTTCTTTTTTTTATGTGTGGAGCTGTGAAGTGTTTGAGATGCTTAATTGGATGTGTCATCACTTGGTCACTGCTAAATGTCCATTTACCCCATGCTGTGTGTATGTACGCAGCACTGATGTTTTACTTGAAACGGAGACACTGTTTTATGATTTTGATCCTGGGTTACACTGCACTTTGTTTTAATAGGAGAGGTTGGGAGCAACTGATAAAATTAAAAAAAAAAAAAATCAATGCGTTTTCTCAAAGCCCTGTACTCCAGACATCTTGCAGTTGAGGTCCAAAAGAGTTGGGTTTGTTTCATGCTCTGCCCAGGCCATTCCTCTCAGCAACAAACACCTAAATATATTTTTGCTTCCTAGGTGCTGCTGAGGGCCTAATCCCCAGGCTTCCCACAAGAAATCCCAGCCATCTGTTCCAGACAGCTGTGCTGCATGCTATGCACATTTACTTTTTTTACTTTAAATACCAAACTTTCACATTTGTTTCCCTTCCTGCTCACTTTCTTGGTCACGTGTTTTCAGTTTTCTTGCAATCTAACCCCTACCATGTAAGAGCTGAGAGCTGCTGTGCACCTGGGAACCGGTATAAGCAGCGGTGCCAGTGGAGCTGTTGGGGTGGTTGTGCTGTGTAAGCACTTTCTGCTCTTTCTCCTTCTGAGACACCATCGCATTCAAGTAGCTGTTACAGAACAGAATGTCAGGAATTTACTGTGCTTTACAGTGGCTGAATAGTTCTGCTTAACATCCATATTCCTGTGAGCCTGGAGACCCTCACACACGGAAGTGACTGTGCTGGCTACTAATGCTCTGATTTTGCTGATTCTTTGTTCCGTTGTCCTTGTTTTCACCTCTTTCCCGCCATTCTCTCAACTGCAAGAGCAGCTTCCAGATGGCAAAAATTACATATAAGCATGTATCTATTCACTGCTTCACATGCAGCTGTTGGCAATATCAAGTTAGATGTGATGCCACATACCCTGTAACAGAATAGTAACAGCAGCACTCTGTGGAGAATTAGACTTAGAATCATAGAATAGTTAGGTTGAAAAAGACCTTTTAAGATCGAGTCCAGCCATTAACCCAGTGGTGTTAACTTCTCCACGTCTTTTGAATACCTCCAGGGATGGTGACTCCCCCCCTTCCCTGGGCAGCCTGTTTCCAGGGAAGTTTGACAACCCTTTTGATGAAGAAGTTTTTCCTAATATCTGACCTAAACCTCACCTGGTGCAACTTGGGGCCATTTCCTCACATCCTGTCGCTTGTTACTTGGGAGAAGAGATGAACCCCCACACCTCTCTACAGCCTCCTTTCAGGTAGTTGTAGAGACTGATGAGGTCTCCCCTCAGCCTCTTTCTCTCCAGCCTGAACAACCCCAGTTCCCTCAGCCACTTCTCGTAAGACATGCTCTCCGACCCCTCACCAGCTTTGCTGCCCTTATGTGAACACACTCAGGCACCTCAATGTCTTTCTTGTAGTGAGGGGCCCAAAACTGATCACAAAATTTGAGCTGTGGCCTCACCAGTGCCGGGTACAGGGGGTTGAACTTACCAGTAATTAAATCTGTGCAGCCACTTCTAGTCTTTGTGGAACTATACCGGGGTCAATTACTTGAAAATGTCTACACAGGCCTGTTTACAGCAGAATATGGGGACCTGTAAATATAACTGCTCACTGTGTGGAGACAGTGGTGAAAATAAGTGAGAGGCTGGGAGAAAGCTGTATTTTAGTATTTTCACATGTAAAGAGCAGACTTGACTCTCTTATCCCCCTCTCCTTGGTTCAAATAGTTTGTGGTTTGTTGGGTTTTTTTGTTTGTTTGTTTTGGGGAGGGGTTGGGTTTTTTGGGGGTTTTGGTTTGGTTTTTCTTTTTTTTAACTTAAAGGTTAATACCAGGGTCATTCAGTTGTTACTCTCGTGTACTTACTGATTTTGCACAGGTCTTTTCCTCAGGAAGCAGAGCTGAACACAGGGCCAGCCGAATGCTGGGCCTTACCTTTACAGCTGCGTATTGCAGTAACGTGCTGTCTGTTCCCTGAGCCTGGCAGCAGGCTAAGGTGCCGCATGTCTCGGCAAAGCTTATGTGTATTGCAACACTGAGCTCTGTCAGTTGGGTAACCCCAAAAATAAAACCCTTAAGGCAAGACTGCTCCTTATTCTGGTGCAACAGAGACTGGTATTTGACTTTAAATAACTCTGTCAATCTTGCAGGAGGTAAGACTCAGGGAAGGGAAAATGCAAGTGTCAGGCAGAGTTTCGGAGAATGATTATTTTAGTTGGAAGAAGTGGGAATACACGCAAGAACATCTCAGTGAGGCTGAGGGGCAACCTCTCCGGAAAGGCTTCTGCTCTCAAATGGATGGATAATCCCAAGCACAAAATGGCTCAAGGAGGTTGTGAGTAAAAACTAAAGTACGTGTCTCTACATTAAAGTGAATGCTCACTGGGAGCTGAAGCTTGGTAGCAAATTTTGAGCAGAATCTTTTGTACATTAGGATGTATATCCTGCTTTAAACCCAAATATTTGTTCCTTTAAGATGGCAGTAACACAGCATTCACTTCCATGGATGTACGGGTCACCAGTTACATTTACAGTAGGCTTGGTGAACTCTAAGAAAAAAAAAAAGGATTAGAAAGATCAGAGTTTGCAGTGTTCAGCTCTGACATCATGTTAGAGTGTATCCTGCTCATCTTTCAGAGCAACCATGAAGAGTTTTGCCTGCTGGGCCAAGCATGTGAGGGCTGCTAAGGGAAGGACTCTTCCTGGTGGGGGAAGTGTGAGGTTCCCTACTAAAGCAGGATTATAGCTGATGTGCTAAGTACTCATTTGTATGCAGGTGTGTCCTTGCAAATATTACCTGTATCTTTATTTTCTACCATTCCTGTGGGAACTTAAAACAAGCCAGGAGGCTCCTTGCAAAATTCCAGTGAATTTTACTTGATTTAGTTGACCAATTAAAAAAAAAAGCCATCACACAAATTACAGGGAACTTGCAACTAATGGTGAAAATAAAGTTCTTGTTACTTGCATATTTGCCAAGACAGCCTGATACTGTACAGTTTTAGATGCCTTTAATTTCTCCCATCAGTTGAAATTTGAGCCAAATGTATCCTGCAGAAGTCCAATTTCTGTAGTTAGTATCCAAAACCGAGTTAACAGCTTTTCTCTTGACACTGTGCAGTGTCATAGCAAATGGAACCTTTCTGCGTGTATCCAGTGTGAACAGAGAACCAGTCTCAGAATGTGTAAGCACATGCTCTGTGTTCAGGCTAAAAGAGAGAACTAAGTTTAAATAACATAAATCTCTTGGGGAAAGCAGCCTCTCCTGAATACTCACCAGATCCTATAAGGGCACAGATCAGCACCATGGAGTTGTATTTTATTTCTGGAGCACTCCTGTCATCTGAGAGCAGTCTGTGCAGAATCTGAACAAGCTGAGCGTTTTCAAGATCTTTTTCAGCAGTGACTGAAACACAAGTGAAAATCTGTGAATCTTGAAGCTATGCTTGCTTTGATGTTTCTATGTGTTAGCTGTTTGTTGAAACTGGGATCTTTCACCACAGTCGAAGTGGTGCTGTGGTACATAACTCATTGGCATAAAACTGAAGCACATATTAGATGGTATGATGATAGGAATCATGGCTCTTGCTATGCACATGTTTAAATAGCCTCACTGCTTGAAAGGACAATCACAGATTTTAATGATAAAATAGAATTTTTGATGTACAGTGAGCTGATGGGAAAGTCACTAGGCTTTCTAGCTATTTAGGCCAACACCTGCAACATTTCAGCTTTCAAGACTTCCACTGCCTGTTTGCTTTTGGAAATTTGGAAATTCTAAGTACAGATAGTGTAATTCTCGTTTCTATGGTAGAGGGAGCTCAGAATCCATTGTAAAGGCTGAGAAGAAATTCTCAAGATCAGAGTGCGAGTTATTTCCTCTGTAGTTTTCTTGGAAAACTATATACTCAATTCAGACTCAAAACCTTTAAGTGTCTGAAGACAAGACAAAAATGAGGTAGACGATTCATGTGAAAAGAAACATTGTTTTTCATTAAAACAAATTCCTGATGCATTATCAGTGATTTGGAAGTTGAACATAGCAAATGGAAGGGCAAGAGATGAAATCAAGAGCAAAAATATGTCATGTTACTTGTCTAGTTCCTTATCTTAGTTAATAAGCATGCAAATAGGATAAAAAAAGAAATCTCTGTTGGGAGTTTACCTTTTTGTCTGGTAAGCTGAGGTCGTACAAAAACAGGTCAAGACACTAGAAGGCAGGTGATTGTCTCTGCCTTTGTATGGCAACTCTTGCAGCTATTTCTGTGGAACTTAAGACATTTGGGGGTCACCAGCCACCCCTGTGTGTGTTCTCTAGCTCTCACTAATTAGGTAAGTGAAAGTTTTACTCTTATAAGCCCTCTGAAAAGGGACTAACCATTCCTGTGTAGGAATGTAGTCAGGTCACAGTGTCTCTACTCTCAAGGATGATTTTTATTAAATGTTAGCCTTCCAGGTTTTACCCAAAATCTGCAAGTTACATTGAAGGGCTTTTCTAGATCATGGAGTCACCTAAGAAAATGATGGAGCAGACACTGTTACCAACAAGCTCCAGTTTGTGTGCCTGTGTCTGCATGAACTGTCACATATTTCCATGCTACTGGAAGAAAGGCAGGCAGAAGGAGGAGGCTGTTGTATGGTGCAAAAGAAACTCGCACAACTCTCCCTCTGTGACTTCTCTTGGGCACAAACTGGAAAGAAAACAGGTAAGAGTTAACCACTGGGATACTCACCTAACTCTAAAGCTGCTATTAATGCCAGTGCAACGAGAGCTTCGTTTTGCATTATTACATGTTCACTGGTTGCCATGGTTACTAAATGCTTGATGCCACCACTCTGTACAATGGTCCTAATTACATCCTAAAATAAATAACATAGAAGTGAACAAATTCTGCATTGCATACAAACTGAGTTTAACTAACAAATTTGTCATGGATGCTCTGTTATCTTTGGGTAAGGATACTCGTTGGCTCTATGCATGTATCGCCACTTTACACACAGATGTGGGCCTATCAATTATGTGTTACTCGGGAAGTATAAGATACAACCTGGAAAGCCAAGCCTGTTAACCACATGACTAAGTTAAGCCACAGATAACTAACTCTTTTTCCAGGTCATGTTGTGTAACTCAAGTTCTCATCAATCACCTAATGAGTCCATTCTTTTATGTTTGAACTCAGCTGGTGTTCAAAGGTAATTAGTTTTTCCTTCTTTATGTCGTGATGTTCCGAGCAATTTATCAAAAGCACCCAACCAAAAGTTGCCCAGTATCTAGAAAATGAAATTTGCTGGCTGGTTTAAATGGCTTTAAAGCAGTTTAAAAATGCATGCCTGGGATTCTGTCTTCAAGTCCAAAATGAGATCCAACATACACATGACAAAGGATGAATAAAAATTTCTGGTGCCTGAAAGTCTTCAGTTACTTGTTAATTATAATTAACAAGTAAATTTGCACCCAATGTTTTCACCATCGTATATCCTAAAAATACTTGAAAAACATTTGCCTGAAAATCATGAGTTGGCATGTTGAACGGAAACTGCTCAAGGAAATGTGGTTTGATTGTATTAATTTTTATTTGTTCTGTGGGTGCACAAAGTTTTGAAATAGTAGTTATTTCTCAAAATAAGAATCTGATTTAAATTTTTAATCAATGTGTTGAATTTCCATTTAAAGCACACACCCCTTTCTGACTCCAGCCACTAGCTAAAACTCATGATACATGTGTTTAGACTGATTTATGTGGCCGTGCCTGCACAGGGTGGGCAGTGACATTCTTTAAGCAAGGAAATGGACACCATGTCGTGGTTTAACCCCAAGCATAATGCCGTTGCTCACCACCTGAGCCTCTGCTCCTTCCTGAGGCTCGATCCCCCAGTTACATACTGAGCGTGATGTCGCACGCTACCGAATATCCCCTCAGCCAGTTTGGGTCCTGCTGTGCCCACTCCCAGCTTCTTGTGAAAATTAATCCTATTGGAGCTGATCCCAGGACACACAAATCTTAATCCTTGAAAAGTGAAATGTTTTTAGATAATCATACTGAGGATGCTTAGTGGCACAAGTCACAGCCTAACAACTCCATTTCACCTTTTAAACCCTCCTCCCACGAATGACATAATGTATGCAAGAATGTAAATATTTTTATATACTTCCTTACTTGCATTCATGTGTTTTACTGTTTGTGATTTTCTTGTGGAACTCCAAAGTCATTCTGAGACTTCATGGAATGATCTGGGAAACTGCTAATTTCTATTTGAATTGGTGTGACATTTTTGCTATAAAGTCTTGGGAATCAATTAGCACCTTTGACATCCTTTTTTAATTTATTTTGTAGGTTAATATAAGCCTCTAAGAGGCAGCACCAAACAGGTAGATGACAGCAGTCAGGTTTAGCGCTAGTGTAGTGTAACTCACAAATACCTACTCCATTTTTTTTTTTTTTTTTTTTAGAATGAGATATAAGTTTTCTAAACTACTGTTGCCTCTATAAATAACTGCCTCAAATTCTTTAAAATTAAAAACCAAATTCAAATCTGATGTGCTGTGGAGAACCATACAGTTGTACACATATTCAAACCTAGAGGGCAGTAAAAGCATCCAGAAAACCCACCCTCCCTCCTCTGTTTTCCAGTCAAGTTTCCTCTAGGAGGACACAGACAACACAAAAGTTACACTGTGATGATCCTGTTAACTTCTGCATTAATATCTATTTGATAGCCTCAATAGTGTCTCTGTATTTAGAAGTGAATTCTTTTTTTCCCTAGAGAGTACTGATAAAAACTTGTATCTCTGGTGGTATATGCTACCTATGCATGCATCTTGGGGACTGGGTGGAGGGGGGAAGGTGTATACAGAAAAAAATGAGAACTCTGAAAAAAATGAAACCTGACCAGTTTTAGAGGCTGAACGTAAAACAGAGAATGGGCATTAGAAAGAGACAGTAATATTAGAAATCAGCAAAGATGACACAGATGTTAGTCCATCCTAGTCCAACCCCCCTGCCAAAGCAGGATCACCTAGAGTTTGTCACACAGGAACGATTTACATCTTGGTTTTTGGAGAGGCTCAGGACAGACCGGATCTATCATATGTTTTTCACTTTGTAAATGTCAGGCACAAATGAAGAGGTCCCTGTTAAGGTCTGAGTTCTCCACACTTGCTACTGAAGCTCAGTCATGCAGTCTGTGTTCAAATCAGTGAATGCATTAAGTGAAGTCTGAACCTGAAACAGGTTGTTTCCAGAGAAAATGCTTTTGTCCTTTCTAAGGCTGTTTAATACTCTTCTGAGCAAGGGCAGTGGACTTGAACTGCTTTTGTAAAAGTGTTTGGTTGATGCGAAGGTGAGGGAAGTGATAGAACTCATCTGTCCCACAGATTCTCTTAATTTCATAACCTTTTCCATGTACAAGCAAGCTTTTGTTAGAGTCTAGAATAAATTATCTCTAATGACCTGTTAAGACTCCTAAAATTCTGAAATATCCAATACGAAGAATAGGAGGACAAACTATTTCTGTCTGTCAGTTTTACATATAGCAAGATCATAACAACTGAGTGCAATGATTCTTCATATACAGCATCATTAAAACGTAGAAAATATGGCATATTTAACGTCTGTGGGATACAACTAAAAAAAATTAATCAGGACTTAGACACGTGAATCCTAACAGTGTTCCTTTAACTGGCTTGCCATTCCGAAATTGTTTTGCTTTGTTTCTTTTTCTGAAGTTATGTAGTTGCAGTGAGCATTTAAACCTGTTGCTTCTGTGTGACTGGTAGGTCCCAGCAGCAGAGGAGAGGTAACACGTGAATTAACCACTCTGGCTTTCTAGAAGGATTATGTCCTGGACGGCTGAGCTACCACTACCGAGTGCAGAGGTCTGCCTTAGTTCTTACACGCTGACTTTTTTCACCACTAACTTACTTTTGATTTGCTGTGTCGTATAAGTGCAGAAAGTAGTCTGTTGGACTCTCCCATCACACCTGCGTGATCCTTGGCTTCACACCACTCCACCAATCGCTCCACCAGTTTTACGTTTTTGCCCAGCTGTTCAGCTGCTTCTGCTACATGATGCCGGAGCCAAGAACACAACAAAAAAGTTGTCACTTTTTAAAGCAAGTGCGAGAAGAATAAGCTGAAAGTTACTAACTAGAAGGAGTTTGTTAAATAGAACTTCACTAGCTTGTACTAACAGTGGGAGAAGGCTAGGTTGCATGGAAGCAAGTTAAGCCACACAAAATAGAAACAACACAGAAAACCATTCATAATCTGTTTTTTTAAAACAACTTATCAGCCCAGTTGATAAGGTTTGTGTATTGATTAAGAATAGGCAAAAATACAGGTGATGTCACACCCCCAGGTGAGCTAGATCAAAAATTTAAACCCAAGAGGGATGGCTAGAAGGAAGAACTGTGATCGGTCAACTGGGTTTTCTAGACTATAAGTCACACAAGTTTCTTCAATTAATTTCTATTTCACATCTAATAACTTTGCTAGAACTAGAATGGATCTTGACAAAAATCTGCAGGACTGGGTCAAAAATAAATACTTGGCTACTTTATCTCATTAACTACTTCTCAGTTTTATAAATCTTGATTTTATAAATCCTCATCCTGGAACAAACCATTAAACTAAAAGATGCTTATTCAGTTTGAAATTGCAGTTTATCAATTAACAAGTGCATTAGTCTGTTCCAAAGAACTGGATACAGCCAGCAAACGCAGTAAGTGAACAACAAAGCAGGAGTGGTAGCTTAAAACACTCACGCCTCAATACATACTCATAATGTGACAGTGTAGGAGAGTTCTGCAGTACAAAAAGTAAATAAGCATTTGACACCTATTCTGAGGGTCCTTGGTAGTCAGTTTAGGAGTTCTGAAAAAAAATCAGCCCACACTCCTCTCTCTTTGCATATGTATTAGATTCATTCCAAGACTTGAGGATAAAATTTTAAAAACCCCTCTGCTTCTCTCTTGTAAGAATCTTGGCAGCGTATCACAGGCTGAACCAAAAAGAATCACTTAACATACAGAACAGTTTATTTTTACCTTGTGCATCTATTAACATTCTTAATGTTCCCAGCAGCTTGAATTGCACAGGGGGCATCTCCGATCTGAGAAATTTCAATACAGCTTCTGCAACACCAGCTGATAGCATCTTAGCCTTATTTACAACTGCATGAATAAAGAACAGGGATGATCTCAAGAACATTTCTGGAAGATGCCATTTATTTCCAAGATGGTCTTGAAGCAAGTTTTCAGACAAGGTTTGAAAAATAGCTTGTGAGCAGAGACTTCAGGAAACGTGAGTGTGTGTTGATAATATTGCATTGTAGAAAACTCTGATATAATTGTTAATACACAGGTGTGAAATTAAGTGCTTTTTCCTAGCACGTACATCTCATTTTCAGTGTTTGGCCTGAACCTAAACTGAAGGCCAGACCTTTTCCCCCCATCTAGGAAAGGCATCTTCCACAATATGCATCAAGTAGAGCCAAGGCTGGTACTTGTACCTCAGAACTTCTCTGATTCCCTGTTTCACATAGGTAAAGGAACTAAAGTACTTAATTGGCAGAATAATGTCTTACCCAGTTCCAATACTTTATACAAACAGCACTGTGGCCTGACATGTCTGGAGCCTGTAGTCCTTGTATTGCCCTCCCAAACTCTCTTTCATCCTCTCCTCTAGTTTTTGTTCTCCATTTTCATAGAATCATAGAATGGCCTAGGCTGGAAGGGACCTTAGAGATCATCTAGTTCAACCTCTCTGGTTTTTTGGGCAGGGACACCACCTCTCGATTAGACCTGGCAACACATGGGGACCGAGTGGGAAATGAAGCCGCGACCTCGGTGTTGGTCCTTGTTGCCAGCACCGCGCTCAAGCCACTGAGCTAACCAGCCCCCAATAATTTTCATGGAGCTCTCTGAAATATATGTAAAGGTGGAAACTTGGTCCAATAATAGTAGCTACAATTAATTAGAAAAAAGCACTTATTTCACATTTGAAGTAGTGTTTAATAAGTGGTTCATCACTGCAACCAGTTATTACTTGTTCATTTTTCTGTAACAATATACATGAAATCTCTGGCAGATGTCCTTGAGCATAGGCTACAAGGAAGCTTGCTGACCGGTGGAGGCTAATAGAATTACTCACCTGAGAAGGGTAAGCAAACGGCATACCACTAAAGCGGCATGGGTTTAGTTATGTATACACAATCATTTTTTGAATGTTAGTGTCAAAGTTGAAAATAGTAAACCAAGGTTTAATAGATGAAAGATTTATTTTTGGCTTGGTGCGAGAAAGCTTACACAAGCACTACAGACTTGCTTCATTTTTATGTGCATGTGCTCTGCCTTTTATGCTTGGGTAATCAAAACTCATACAAATTAAGTTATTAAAAATGACAAAATCAGCATTCAGTTCATTGCCTACAAACAGTAACTAATTGCGATAGGCTGGCTATTCTAACAGTCTACCTCCGGTTCCAATTTGGGAATTATCAAAGCCTCAGGAAGTTGCTGTAAGATGCAGTGTTTCAACAAAGCGGGCTCTACCCTCTGGCAGTCCATAGGCCTGTGATGTATTTAAAACTGCTTGTCACAACTGCTGCGCAAAAGATGTAAAAATAAGATGGGCCTGAATGAACATCAGCAGCCTGACCTGCCTCTAGGACTGTTGGCCAGTTCTCCCACCCTCGTACCCTGGGGAGGTGCAGTGGGAGAACAGAATTTCACCTTTGGGTGATCAGCAATGCAAAGTGAGGCTTACCAGGAATGGCCAGGTTTCTGAGAGCGCTCAGTGCCGCGTGCTGCACCGTTACATTTCCATCCTCCACATGTCTGTCTAGCAGATCCATCAGCTTTTGAACTATGCCATTATCCACCATATGGATGCAGTTTCCATCTGTGAGAGATGAGACAAGTCACTTGTGAATGTAAGGTTATTACTATGATTTTTAAAAGAGCTTTTTAAAAATAGAAGGGATATTTCTTGCTCTGTTCTAGATTTCATTGTTGAGAACTTGACCACCATCATCAATAAGAGTTGCAGCGCTCATGACAAATGTAGAACAGTGAGACATGCAAAAGTGGTTTGTTTGTTTGCTTTTTTTTATGTTGCTGTATAGCTTAATACCAGCTCTACCACATCACTTAGTTTTTGTTTGTAGCTGTACAGACAGTATGACAGAAGGGCACAGATAAATTTTATATAAGCTATTGTGGCATATTCTTACCATTTCTGGCAAAATTTGCAATAGCCAATGCTCCTGCAAGCTGTAGCTGATGGCTATTGGAAGGAATCCATGAAAGTACTCTTTGGAACACGCTGCCTTTTCCTCCTTCAAATAACTTTTGCATGGATTCATCTGAGGTAAAAAGGATAGAGAGCAAACCAATAAAATGTTTGTTAGGGAAAATTCTTCTCTTTATATTTGTGAAGCTCTGCTGGCTTCACTCCAGTCCTGCATTGTGATAAAAGACAAAATCTGGCCCATTAAGCGTTAACTGGCAGGTAGTACGTCCTCTAGGTTACTTAAGAAATTAATAATTTCAGTAGCCAGACGGTGTTACCAGTGTCTGCTGTAGCTTTGCAGAAGATAGTGACACAGTGTACTTACCTCCAAGCAATAATAAAACCATAAGATCAGAAGCTGTTTTAAGCTCTGCCATATCATCCTCTTTGTCACTGTCCACAGTCTTCTGGACAATCTCAAGTAAGCACTCCACCAAGCCTGCTTCAACCAGCTGAAGTTTAATGACGTCTGCAGAACAGCATGGATAACAGGAGTCACAATCATGATTTTAAATACGTCTATTGTACATACATGCAGGGCAGAACTGTGAAAAAAAGTAGTGATGTCAATGGTTTCACCGACAGCTTGTATAGGTAAAACTGCAGCTTCTTTATTTTAAATTCTTGGAGCCAACTTCTGTTATTATTCATTTACCAGGCCATCCCTTTAGAGCACAACTGTACACTGAAGCTGTGCGGAGCTGCTCTCCATCTCTCAAAAATGGGGATATTTCTCTGTGGCAAACTTCTGGCATCTCAATTGTCACACAGAGGGCTTGTAAGGACTATGCTGTGTTTGGGCTTTCCAAAGACTTTGGACTATGTTGCAGAACAAATGTAGGGTTTCTTATTATATTTCATGTACAGAAGAGCTACTGATTTCACCACAACATGCCAGTAAAAAATATAAAACTTTTGGATGAAATCTCTGAGCGAGTAATCACCCGTTTCTTTTAGCTGAGCCAAGATTTCTGCCATTCATTGAAAGGGGTGCAGGAAGAGTACAGTAAAGCCAAATCCAAAAGACTGGGTTGGGAGAGAAATTTGTTGTGATTGAAGAAAAGCTGGAAACTGATGAGGCAAACTGATCTCTTAGTTGTTATTGGCAACAAGGCTCAACAGAGAAGGTGACAAACATGTCTTTCAGGTGGTGACGTAGGACTCAGGAACAATATTTTTACCCTGTGAACTCGGAACTGAGAATCTCCTTTACAAGCCTCAGCTCCATTTCTGTTACGTGGGAATGGCAGGTCATCTGCCGCTGTTATGTCTTTTTGTTGCTTGACCATGGTTCTGGTAGGTTTTGCACACTGATTTTAGAAAGCACAGTTGTGAGCCTCTGCAGAAATATACAAACAAATGGATTTCTCTTAGCTTTCTCTTAGCACTTTAAAAATAGGGAGTTTAACCCAAGTTAAAATATGTTTAAAGGCCAAAGCTTTGGAACTATTTTTTTTCCCCCATATAGTTTCTAAGCAACAGTTGGGTGAGGAAGAGTGTTCTACCTCTGGTGAAGGATGAGTCTGACTCCGTCTCTGTTTCCTGTTGTCACTAGGCGTTTTTCCTGAGTGAAAAACTCTTTTTTCCTCTAAGAATGGCTGACCTTCTCATGAACTTTGTTAGGGAATGCAAAATATCTGGTTGGGATTGTTTTAAATAGGTGTTTTTGCACTGAGGTACTTTTAACAAAGAGAGTTCCCTTAGTTACAGAATACCAGGTTGCAGGTGTTCTGTGATTTGAAATACAAATTGCTACACCAGCTGTGCTTAAACAACAACAGAACCAACTCCAAAACTCCCAACCACCAAAATCTAGACTCTGCAAATAGTTAATTTAGATGTATGAGCTACAATCAAAAGCATTTCAACAGTACCAGCACCAGTATGCTTTGAAGGCATAGTGGAAGAGTTCAGCTGATTCCCTTATAACATGCAAGCACCTGTGATATGTTCAGCAGCAATAAATGTATCAAATTTTATTGTGACTATAAACCAATCTCAGAAGAATGAAGCATTTGAACTGAAATATGTCAAACCCATGAAAGGTTTGACCCAATTCTGATTCAGGCTTCAAGGCTTGGAACTATCTTAGAGCAGCTTGTAATTATTATACAATAAATGAATATGTTTTGGCAAAATGTGCATTTTTAAAACTAAAAACAAAGGAATTCTGTTTTCACATACCGCTTAAAAGACAAAATAACTTTTCCAATTGAAGTAAGATTATCTTAATTTACACTATGTAAAACAGACACCAACAGAATACATGTGTACGACAGAATAGGATGAAACCTAAGTTTTAGAGTTTACAATTCTACCTAATAAGCTTTAATGCTGAGGTGATTAAAATGAGGTTATAGAGTCATCGAATACTGTCACGTCTTTCATACTTCGAACTGCTTCCCACTTCAGTCCAGCTCCACCTGTTAACTTTCTTCATTTTCTTTAAAGGCAGATGGTAGATGATACAAATCAGCCAGAACGCCTTTGGGAGGAACATCCCAGAGGGTGGTTGGACACGCATCACTTCCCACTCTGGCTTGAGCAGTGAATGAAACTCCAGGTCTCCTGGGGGTACCATAATACAGGCTGCCCAGCACCCGCGTTAAATTCGTATGGTGTCTCAAGGAACAGCAGGGGGAGAGCATCCAGCTCTTAGCTCTGCAATTAATGTGCCCCTCGCAAAAATAACACCATAGGGAATGGAACCACCCGTGTTTCTGTGACCCCAGGAAATGACGTAATAACTGATGTCGTGGTGCTGTAACGGACTATGAATGCTTGAGCTGGTGTTTTGCAGACAAATGTCATAAAGCCTTCTAAAAAGAAGTTTTTGATGTTCCCATTGTGAGTACAGGGAAATAAAATACCATCATATGCAGAGTGAATCAGAGGTAGAATTAGCATCAGCGTTCTGTTGGCTCCTGTCCTGCTCAGACAATTAAGACCTATTCACTTTATATGAAGCTATCAACACAAGGATCAGCAATAGCAGCTTCTGAATGAGGCAACCAGTTACTCTGCATTTAGTCCCTGAAAAAGACACTGATGTATCAAAATACACGTAAGGGAATGAATAAGAAGTAGTGTAAGAAAAAAAAATAAATTCTCACCATTTTCTGCCAGCGGAGCCAAAACTTCAAAAATCATTTCTTTTTTATCATGTTCTATTTGTTTCTTGAACAGCTTCACAAGCTCTTCAGCAATGTTTGTGTAGGCAAACTGCTCTTTACTTGACTCTGTGAAGCAAAAGGAAAAATTCAGTATCAAGTAAACAAACCACATCAAAAGGTAAGACTATTTTTTTCTTTTTGTTACCAGGTTCATTCAGTGAGATGACTAGTAGTGCTCTTCACAGACAAGAACAATGGACCCATGCTTGTCACTAAATGAAACGAATAATGTCTTACACTTGAAGTGTACTGATTTGAATTAATTGTGATTAAGGCTGTTAAAAATATATAAATACATGATCAAGGCTCTTGGAGATGTTTCTGCCCAACAGAATGTAAAGGTAGCTATAGAAACAGTTACATTACAAAAATATTAGGTCTTTGATTCCCCTCAGCTTAACAGGAAGTCTAGCAGATTGTATATTACATTTTCTGTGGGAGAGACAAAGAGTTGTACTGAACGCTTTAATATTTGCACGGCTTCATGATGGTGCCATTTCCTTTGAAATTGCGCATAGCTGTTGCAGCGCCATTTCATACCACACAGATAGCTTTACAGATGGGCTGGTTTTCTACCAGGAGGTTAGCCAGCAGATACCGGTTCTTCAAATCCAGACTGAGCGAAAGCATCCTTTATTCCATTGCCTGAATCTTATTCCTCCTTGCTGGCAGTATGGCAGGGGATGCAGGTGGTAGGGCTGGTGTTCTGCATTCTCCAGTTGCCACCTTCTGAGGGCCATCTGTAGTTAGAAAACCTTCCAGCACCTTTGCTACTGCTCTAATGGATGGTTAGGGGTTAGTTTATTGTAGAATTGACCCCAAGGACTGGGGAAAAGCATGAACTGCAGATCCCTAGACCCTCTTATACAGATTCTGTTATCGTTTTCGCTGACTATGCACAACTTCATAGCACATTTTTTGCCCTTTCTGGTATTTTTAAAAGCAGAACCATCATTTTCTTTATCGGGTTTTGCCCTGCTTTGACTCAGAATAGGAGTTTCATGTAATGCTTCTCAAGGGATCTGTGCAATGCAGTTGTCTCTTAAGAGATGAAAAATGACAACCTTGCAAAAAAATTCCCTGAAGTTACAAGGCAAAAATAAAATATTACAGTTATGATGGGATTGACTAAGCTATTGCTTAAGGGAGATTAAAGTATTACAAGCTAAATTAATTTTGTGCCAATCTTAAAGAACAAGCGTCTTTTCAGCGTATGGGAACAGGATGGGAAGCAGCTGCTGTTAAGCTTCTTTCCCGTGGTTCTTATTACTCTCTTTCCAAAGAGAGAAAGGAAATGCAGTTCTCGCTGAAGATACTGTTTATTATATTTAATATCCTTATGATTTTAGTTGTATTTTGGCACTAGAATTTCCACTATGCAACTTATATTATACTTTCTGCTGTGCAGACACAATATAGAGTGCTGATCTTTAAGATCTCTGATGTATTAATTTCTTTAGTGTTATTTTGATGGCTCTTTGTTGTTGATTTATGAAGTAGATTCGTTGGCTATAAGCAGAGGTATTATGCATGCTATCAGACTACACTAGAAAACATGATATTCTCTCTGGCCTTGAATTCTATGAATTTTAGACAGTTATGAATAACTTCAGGCCACCAAATACTATGAATTTAGAATATATTTTTTACGTTTTTGAACTGCTGAGTCTTCCTAGAAGTACAGGCTGATATTATAACTGCTAATTATTGTACTCTAGCACAAAAAAACTCCTAAGTCTAAAATTCTACAGAATCAATTAGCAAAAGAACAGCAACCTAAAACACAAGTGATAATAAAACACGGGTCTTAACAACCAGTTAGTTTACTCTTCATGGAATTCCACTGAAAACTAGCCAATGCACAAAGACACAGGATAAAAGCAATACCACAAACTTTAAATTAAGTTATAACTAAACTTGCTAAAAATAACATCTACAGCTTAGTACTATTCCTGTTTTATACATGCAAGTTTTTAACTAGAACATGTTAAAACTCTATGACTAAAACAATGTTCTATAGACAGATTTATGAGCTGTGTCTGTCTCAGTTTCATTCAGCGATATAACTTCTCAGAGCTACAGCAGGATACGTTATGCTTATTATTAATAAATAATTCACAATAAGTAGCAACTCTTAGGGAATACTGTTTAGATGATTTAAAACGTGCTTAGCTGTACTGAAGAACGTTAACATAAAACAAAGAAGTTATACTAAGTAACCAAAAAATTTTATTTACTCAAGGGGAAAAAAAAAAGGCAACTATAGATTTTTAGAGTCAATAAGCAGAAATTGCTTATTTTAAATTTTGAACGAAATAAAAGGAACGGAACAAGCATCAGTGCAAGGCTTTTGTTAGTCTTAAGATTTAACTTTATGAAAACTGGATGTAAATTTCAGATTAATATTGTAGACTTACCAAGTTCTGCTAAATTGCCAAATGCAACAAGGCACATCTCTGTTAGAGCTGCGTTTTGGCAATGAATGCCCAACAATTTCACTAATGTAGGAATAACACCCATATTGATAAGCTGTGACTGCAGAGTATCTACATAAAAAGAAAGTACAACAGCGAGTTAGCATTTCTGTTTGTAGTACTACTCTTTAAAGCTAACCAGCATTTTTCACCCAAAGCAACTTCTAGGCTAAGCAGCACTGTTCTCTCTACTCTTCTGTGCTAGGATCTGGTGCAGACTTGAGATATGGACTCATAATTCCCCCTGCCTTTGGCAATGGGACTTACTCCCAGAAATATTCCCTCATGATAGGATATAGTGAATTATGCAGCTACTGATAATTTTGTGATTATCAGATTAGTAATACATATTGGGTTTGATTTTGAGTTCACTGAGACTAGCTGACTGAAATCAAAGAAAAACTATGTCAGTGAAATAATTATTTATCTGAGAACTTGTTCCTATATACTGTTTTCCCCTAAAGATCAAAACTGGAAAATTAAATTTAGGATGAATATAAACTGGCACTGAAATAAACACGAAAAGTTTTATAAACACAGGAAGTCACAATGTAGATTATGAAAAGCTTGAGAAAAAAGAAAGTTTAATAAAGACAAAAAAAATGGAAGGTTTAAGAAAAGTCCTTAGAAGCCATTCTGATAATTTCTTGCACAGGATGAAAGTTTATAGTATTTACAAGTAAGAAGGTTATTTCTCCTAGATGTCTGCAAATAGAAAGATGGTTTGATAGTTAGGCAGAAACATGATTGTTTTAAAGGATTATAACGGTGTTTGCTCTTACACATTTTTCCTATAACATAGCAAAGAAGAAAAACATTGTTTCACAGTTGAATAGAATGAAGCAGACATGAACACACCAGATGTTGTTTAGTAACTTTCCTAAGCACCTTTTTTCCTTTATTTCTAAGCACTTTAGCTGTCTTTAAATGTTAAAGACTCAAAAGACAAGGATCCAAAGCTAGTGAATTTAAGAGAATTGTATTACTTCATTTAGCTTTGGGTCAAGCCCTGCAGGGGAATTGGTTAATTTTTTTTTAAGGAATTCATTTTGTCAACTGAAATCAGTTGGAGTTTTTATATCTGTGGAATCAGAGCTGTGAAAATTGCAGATTTTTACAGGGAAATTAAAATATATTACATCTTAAGTCTAGCAGATTTAGTATCTCATGCTCTCAGAAAACTCTTGGTCTTCAAGATTCTGTAAGTGTGTTTGGAATTTTCATATAATTCAAATTAAGAAAAGATTCTGGAATGTTTAGTTCTTTTATATTCAGTGTAAGATACTTCTCTAATAATTATCAATTTAGTACACTACATAAGTAAACTGCATGGTTATTACAGGTTATTTGGGATAAGCAGGAATCCTTATGGTTTGACACCTTTAATAAAACTGTATTACTTACCAGTAACTGAATTTCCTTTTTTGGGGGAAAGGGGTTACCTCTTCCACAGATTCGTGGTCTTTAGAGAAACTTATGAGAATACCATGTCAGACATCAAAGAGCTGTTGAAATTGTCAAATTTTAGGTAAGTACAAATTGCACTAGCGCATGCATTGAATGCCATTTTACCTCCAGCAGATGTGTGAGTCACTGCTACATCCTCCTACTTCGTTCAAAACTGACTGTAAAAATCTGTCTCTGAATAGGAAAATTGGGGAGAGGGGAGCTGGAATGGTTCTGTGGAGAAAATGATCATGTAGGAGAACTCAAGTTACTGGTAAATAATCTTTTTTTGTCCTTAGTTTGTGATTGTCCCCTGCAGATATTTAAAAATTCTGAAGGAAAAATGGTAGTCATGGAGAGTAGGAGAACAAAGACCAAAACCACAAATGCCATAAAAAATTATATGTAAAGAAATTGCTTTGTTACGAGACTATGACTTTATTCACTCTAAAATCACTTTATCCAACGGTAATGTGCAAAGAGACAATTAATCTCCTTGGCCTTCATTTAGAAAAGTGTTCTGACATCAGAAGCATAAACTTTCTATTTTGAGATGAGTTTTTTTTTCTGTTGTCTCTTTCTTAATGCAAAATACATTAAAAGTGTGGAAGACATGTGGACAAAGGAAAACCATATCCATCTTTGAAAGGAAACAGGAATCTTAAGAGCCAAACAGAAGGATATACTTGTTCAGGAGAGCATGGAACACACTGATTAAAGGGCCTCTAGAATTCCCAAGTAGGAAAAAAGGGAAAAGAAAATATACCAAGAAAGAACACTTGTACTGGGTTAAAAGTCTGGTATTATACCTGACTCCGCACCAGCCTCATTTCCCTGGAGAAGCAGGATGGCACCTGAGCACAGGAATGACCTACAGTGGTAGGAATGGTATTACAAGTATTGCCATTAGGGTAAATATTGATGCCTTAACCGCAGGAAGTGAAAGGATACATTTTCCCCTCTGCATCAGACTGTAGAGCCCTGTGAGTCTCAAAGTTACACAGGAGGCAAAACCTTTGAAAACAAAAGGCTGTCATTTGCTGTGTTTATACTTAAACCCGGTCTTGCCATACAGATTCTGAACTTGTCATTTCCCTGTCGTTACCAATACTAGGAGGCTCTTTCTCTAGTAAATACAAGAGTAAATAAAGTCTCTTAAAAGTTTAAGAGAAAAGTATTGGGCTTCTCGCTGGCATAGAGACTGACAGCACCTTTTACTTCAGAGAAATTAAAACCATCCAAGTGGTTCGGTCTTAGCTGAAGGGCCTGCAGGAGTTCTCTGGCTGTCCTATGAAAGATAGTAGTCTGGGTAATAACCTGGAATAACTGTGTATCTCCACCTTTTGTTGCAGGAAGTGTTAAGGCCCTACTAAAGCAGGAGACAAACTCAGGGTACACATGCATCCTTCCTCCAAGCAGTTGCCTGATACAGAACTAAAGTGAGCCATGAAGCCAGGCAACGTCGTGTCTCAGGCTGAAACAGCATCTCTATAGGCTTCCTAAGCAGAACTTGATGAGTAGTGAGCAGGAAGCAGGAAAAACTGAACGGCTCTTCTGAATTTATGACTTAAAGCCACAAAAGATGCGCTCTCAGTTTTTACACTGCCATCACATGTTGCACTAGTAAGATGCCTGTGTGTTCTCTTGGGGTGAAAAGCACTGACAGTGATGCTGTACAGATGCGTATACAGGTAGATAAAAGGCAGTCAATACATGCGCCAGCACAAAGAGTTACCTACCTAAAACTTGCATTTCAGTGGCTCCATGTCCTTCGGTGGCACACATGGAAACTCCAAAGAGTAAGATCTGGGGAGAATATCCCAAATTGAGAACTTTTATTGGGGGTATTTGAGTTTAAAATGCTGATTTAGGCTAGTTCATGATTTTGGACACAATTTCATAAAACAACTAGTTATTTCATGTTTCACCAGTAAGTCTGATACTAATGCTAAAGGAAATTCTGTTTTGTACAAATTGGTGGCATAATCTTGTACCCTTGAGAAACCTGCTTGCAATACCCACATCTATGTTAACTCATGTGATTGTATTGATTATCTCATTATCATGAGAAACATACTTTTAATGTGCTTTTATATGCTTTAGGTTACTTTGCATTTAAGTATATTTAGGTCTTGAAAGCAAGCTATATGTCTTTAGCTGTGATGTAAATGAAAAACAAAATCACAGAAAGCATGAAAATTAGCAAAGATCAGTCTTGGAAGGAAGCATTACTGACATATTGCTGTTAGACAATAATAATGGTGCCACAAATCTCCCGTTAATTTCTTGTTTATTTACATAGCTTCTGCAGATGGTAAACAGTGCAAATCAGTCCACAACATTCATTCCTGTTGCTAAGAGTTTTATGAGAATAAGAAAGGCTTGGCAGTTGTATGGTTTAACATCAGAATGTCACATTTTACAAAGGCACTGCAGGAAGGACAACCTTGACAGATTGAAGTTTAATATGAAATGAGATGAGGAAGCAATAAACATAATTCATTTTATCTATATATACACACCCACATATAAATACATGTATACTTTCATACATGCATACTGTATCTGGTTAACTTCTGATCTCCAGTTTGACTACCTAATGAGTCAATTGGGCTAGATAATCCATGACGTCTGTGTTTCTTTAAAAATGCATTTGTGGTTTATTTTATAAATCTCTTGAGACAGTTAGCTACCTTACAGAGTGATCCCATTAACTTGTAAATAGTCTTGGCTCGCAGGATTATGAGATCTGCAGAATAACTTACTCATGTCACTAACTCTTTTATGTGAGTGTTTGCATATGATTATTAGTTTTATTAGATTAGTTAGTTTTTCACTCCTTATCCAAGCCTGCTTTGCCTCCTGCTCTTAAGCAGATTTATAGCTATGCAGAGACTAAATGTCTTCAGAATGGGAGAAGCACAACAACATACTGAACCCACTGAAAGGTGCCAAAACAGCAGCTTTAAGCATGTGTGCCCTGTATCCCAGATAAAGTTTGCATAGCTTGACGAAGCATTATTGTAGGTTTTTGTCAAGACTTGCTTCTTTCAGGATAAAGCTATGAGCCAAACCATTCACAAAAGTGTGATACATCTGTTTCATTTCTAGCCATACCTGCAACTTTGCCTTTTAAGAACTAGTAATGGAAAGCTGAGATGAGATATTTCTGTCTGACTGAATTTGGGTAGTAAACTACAATGATGATGGAGAGGGTCAAAATCATCTGGGCTGATGTGTCCCAGCAGGAAAAAAAACCCCTGACTTCTAGCAACACAATTAAAAATCGAGACTTTTTTTTTGAGATTGAAAGAACTGCAAGAGATGCCAAAGCCAAGTTTGTTCCGTTAACTAATGAAATTACAAGATTCCAAGGAGGCAAAGGAAGAATTTAGACACAGCAGGCAAGAATAATTCCTGAACACAAGCAAATGGTATAAAAACTGGTAAAGGGAATCTTAGTTTTAAGGTTTAGACAACAGTGCTATCAATGGAGTTGCAATTGCAAGCTGAGTGTTCAGAATCAGGATGATGTATAGGAATGCTCCATTAATTTGCTCTGTTTATGAAAAGAAAATATTACTTGTAGCTGCTTTTTAGTTGCAATTTTTGTAAAATTTGTGTGACATTTCCCTATGCTAATCTGAAAACTTGAAGTACTCAAGGATGGGTCTCATGTTAAAAAAATAAAGTAGTTGATAGATATTAAAAATGTAGTAGCAGCTATTGGAAAATGAGGGCAATTAGTCAGCTGGGAAGGACAAACTGTTTAGAATCAAATAAAACAATTTAAATACTCTTTGCTCATAAAATGCTAAGAATTAGAGGATATTAGGGTGTTCACAGATAATTAGATGCACCTAAGAACCAAAATGTGCTGTAGTTGTCCTTATCTGGATAACCAGTGCCATTTAGAAGAGTGCAAGTCTTTAAAAGGGATAAAGAAATTTTCAGGATCCCCACCTATAATTTTGTAACATAGCATGCTAAGCAGGGAAAGATTACAGAAAAAAGATAAGGTAGAAGTGCTATATCAAAGTCTGGAACACTTCCTTCTTACATTTCTAATATTTTTTATTTTATGTTTGTCTAATTTGTTTCCATAACAACAGACAAAGCAATCTGGGACTCTAGGCTGCAATCCCATACACCTCATCCTTCAGCAAAACCAACGCAGTGTTTATCTTTTTCCTAAGTGACATGAGGTCACGCCTTGGCAAGTAAATCTTGAAAATGGTATCATTAATCTGTGAGCACAATTAACTGTCAGGGTAATCTGAGCTTTCATGTTTAACAGGTCAGCAAAGAACTATATTCACTCGGAATATTATCCACCTGATGCTGCAGTGTGCGGAAATGGTTACCTCGGGATCATATTTGACATTGACCACTGTTCTGAAAAGTTATGATGGTGTGCAGGTGGTATTTTTAGAGCAATTTACAACCAGGGTCCAATTGTACTTATGACTCTTAAAACAAAACTGGCAAGACAGGTCAACTACCCATCTCACCATATGCCTACTGGAGGTATCGTCAATGAGTTTTCTTCAAAAAATTTAATTATCTTTTTTTTTTTTGTAATATTGTTTTGCCAGATTATTTGAAGTTTAGTACAGCAGTTGCCACAGGCTAGTGGGCAAACTGATAACAGAACTACAGGACACAAATCTTACACAGCATACCCATGGGTGCTGGGTCAAACAGGAGCCTGGGTCTCTACCAAAATGTCCTTTCTCATGGAGAACCACCAAGTCAGTGGGCTACAGTGAGGATTTGGTAAGCCCAGCATTCCCTCCTCATGTGGTGATGTGCACCCTGATCCAGGAGCCCCGAATGCTCCTGCATTTCTCACTTCAGTGGCTCCTTTGAGTACTGTGTCAGTTCATTAGTTCCTGCGACACGAAAGATGTCATTAGCAGAATAGAGAGCAGCTAGTGAATTCTCCTAGTTGTCACTGAACTACACAACTGCTTTACTGATTGCATCAGAAGAAGCTATCTTACTAGATGGAATGAGTCATTTATTCAATGTTCATAACAGCTAAACTGTTCAGAAACTGCTTGTTTTGGGAGATTTATCTCATAATTAGTTTTCCTAGGGAAGATCTGCTGGAGCTTGGTCACTGAAGCAAAACTTATACCATATATCTCTACACAGACCTTTTGGACTTGTCTGTCCAAATACACTGGATGCTCATTAGTCTTAATTAATCCAGAGGATTTTGGTATCTTAGAGGTGAGAATACCGATTTCCTTCAAATATTTTAGCAAATGAAGAAAGTATGGAGTTAACACTATGAAATGTAATAAAATATGACACTCATGCAGACATCAAGCAAAACTGTTCCTCAACTATATGAAATAAAGGACTAGAAAGTTGCTATTTGGAGAAGAAGGAAGTACTGTAAACAAGTATTGTTAGATAATAATAGTAAAAGAGGAGGAAAAAAGAATGTGAGAAGAGAAAGAGATGAGACACATAGAACAGTGATATTTGGAAGCTGTTAAGTAACACCAAGAGCTGAGAGCTCCAGAGAGATAACACGGAAAACATACAAGGAAGCTATGCTAGAAGAGATGATAAAGCAGATTAAAAATTTATACAGTAAAAAAAAAAAAAAAGTTTAGCCTATAGACCATCCTGAAAAGTTGAAGTTCTGGGGACACAGGTTTGGAAAGTGAGTTACAGCAAGCGACAGTTTTAAGGCAATGGTGAACAGCTAATACAGAAGCTATTTCTTCCTAAGATAAACCACTACCAGTCAGGAAAGTGGCGTGATTGAAGAAACAATGTGATTAACTAGCTACATTTGCAATCTGTGCCATTACAAGTCAGGAGAACAGTCTCTATTCAGCTTTTTTTTTAATCTCAATTTTCTTAGAGACTGAAATTTTGAAATACTTGGGAATGTGTGAACTCTGTAAAATATACTTTGACATAGTACCACACTTACATGCAGAAGCAGACTAGTTACTAAAATATTGTTATATTTTTGTACAACTAGTCTAGAACACTATTTTCTTGTTCTCAGTGGTCAACGATTTCTCATTTAAGATACTATCTTGTGGTTTTATCCCAGCCCCTAAACATCTCCATTTAATGGGATAAAGAACATAAACTTAATTTGTAGGCACAGAACAGCATTGAGCATACACAATAAATTATTCCCCATTTATTGTAGAAGAAAGTAACATGTAGTTTTATATACAGTTCATAAGGAGAAAAAAGATTAAGGTAAACTGTTTGGCATACATACCCTCAAATCATAAACATGACAACACTGCATGACTGCAACAAATGAGTCTTATGGTGTTGTTTGATACTAATGATGTGTAAATGTGTGTGATACACCTCCATGGTATTGCTTTTAGACAAAGAAGTAAATTAGATGTTGACTTTAAAACTTCTTATGATGTGCTATATGAAAATACATCAGGGAGATATCTAGTATTTTTGGAACATAATCTTACTGAAACAGAAAATTGTATATGTGAATTGAGATAATTCATACTTTCAGAATAATTCAGTGTTAGTCCCCACAATGTAAACCTACAGTTGACTTTAACTTTTTTTTTTTCTTTTTTTTGATGGGGTTGTTCTCCTGGTAGACATAAAGCAAATTTTTGGTGTTGTTTACCATTCTCATTGCTATAGTTCATCAGCATGCCACAAAAGACAGTCAAGAGCTTCTCACTGGCTGGATCTGTTTTACTGCACAGTGACCTTATATGGTCTACTACAATATGTGCACCACCTGCATGGTCAACTGCGTTCCTGCCCTCATCTGTAAAACAAAGAGTTACATTAAAGAAAATGAAACCAAAACCCACCGTAGAGTCCCGAACATAACAGTAATCATACAAAATGAATTTTTTAAACAGCGTGAAGTCATTCCTCCAATGTTGTCAAATAATCTAGAGAGATGCTTGAGGGCCAGCTTTTAGTGCAATAGAGCTAGGAAAGTGAAAACACCTAAAATGAAAAGATTAACCACTTGGCACTAATAGTTTTGTACAGAACTTTAGTGTTTGAGGCAGAGCCACCACAGCTGATAAACAATATTCCGAAGATACACTGCATTTTGCCAGAGGCAGGTTCTGAGCACTTTACAAAGCCTAGTCCATGCACCTTTGTGGACCAGGTAAATTACTCTTGCCATTATGCAGACTGAGAAATTGAAATACAGAAAATAAATTGCCTGGGTTACTGAAAAACAAAATGGAGAATAAAATGGACAGAGCAGATAGAGGTAACAGTTCCCACTCATGCACTGACTCTGCCACACAGCATGTTCTTTGTACTTCTAGACCTGAAACTTAATAGCACTATCAGGTTCTTTTTGTATGGTTAAAAGTGTTCTGTGTTGTCATAAATAACATACGATAATCTTTGTATGGAAATCCTTCTCTATAACAAATCAGATTTAATCAGTGTAGGAACTAAGGAAAAATTAGCCTTCTATTATAGTAATCGACAATATCACTTCCTTTCTTAGCAGGCAGTCAGCATCACACAACCGTGAATAACCTAAATTTCAGGGTTTCAAAAGCAGGTATTTCCAAGTGAGTTACCATTGGAATCAGCTGGAAAATCTGGATAAAAACAAAACCTTGGGTGGAAAAATCACTACAGCAAATTTTTTGCAAAACAAGAAAAAAAACCACCCCAAACCAAAAAACTTGTCTCCCCAATTTCTAAATGCCCCCAACGCAAATCTCTTCTTTCCCTTGTTATTCACCACTCTGTTGTCACTTCTCCCTCTCTCCGTCGTATATGGAGGTCAAGCTATCAATTTTTCCTCATTCTGCAATGTATTTAGTAAGAAAACCATGGCTGTCCACATTTATAATATGATCTTCCACTATAATGTGTTCCAGAGCTTTACAAAAAGAAGTTTCAGAAACTTTCAGTTGTTGTTAATACTATTTCTGAAGCATGTATCACTTACATACAACATATATATGTAAGAATTATAAGTATACACACCTGCATTATATATATTCATAAATACCAATATGTGTATATATATATATGAGGGGTATATAGGGACTTCAGATAATTTGCTGAGTGGAGCTGAAGGAGGAAGGGTAATTCTTGGTGGAACTTAACTACTAAATTTATTACCAGAGTAATAAGTGTTTTGCAGAATAACTGAGACGCATGCAACAGAGGAAAAATGCCACTGCTGTGACTGTCTCCACCTGGACATGATCAGGACATCAGGGGACTGTGTTTCACTACAGGTATGTATATTCCATTTTGAAAAAGGAGAAACTGGAATCAGTTTACAGTCAAACAAATTCAAGAAAAGATTTTGTGTCAAGGAAGGACTATAAAAAAAAGGAGAAATATAAAAGAAATAAATCTCTTGCATCTATGAAGCAGTGACAAATGTAGGCATAATGCTGAAATAAAAGTGCTGCACCAAAATACAGCAAGACAATACACTCAGGTGCTCAGATTCAGTGCCTACATTTACTAAATCAGAAGATCAAAAAACCTCAAACTTGGCTGGAATATTCCAGTATTCCGTTTTATGTATCCTTTTCTTGAACTTTTTATTACAAAAGTTTTGCAAATACATGATTTTGTATTTGACTGACCTGTTTTATGAGTCAAAAGAGGTATGTAAAATGAAACTGAATCACTGATTCTGGATCAGATGGACTGAATGTGGTCCTCAAATCACTATAATGCAATTGAAATCAACAAAACCTATGATAAAGTTAAGCTTGAGATAAGAATCAGGGGTCAAGCTCATTCTTGTGTCATGAATTGCATATAAAATATGTAAGCAAAGAATAATATAGAGTCAGGTGAGAGTTTGGAAGCAAGGATTAAAAAAAAAGAAAAAAGAAAAATAGTTACAAGCCAAGTTCCTTACCTGGATGTAATTTAACTGAAAATAATGGTGTGATAATATCTTAAATTAAAATGTAACTAATCTATCCCTTTACTTGTATTCTCTCTGGTTTGTCAAAGAAGTTATATATCAAAAAACTGTTGTACCTTTAAGTACATAATAGTCTCTGATTTCAAATACATGATCAAATTCTTATTCACACAATTTCTTGTTAGGTAGACAGATACCAGCTTCTCTTGTAACAGACAGCAAAAGTAAGGCAGAAAGATTCAGAAATTAATCTCATTCCAAGAAATATTCCTCTATCTCTAAAGTATACTCTAAAACTTAGGGTAAAATGAACTTCAGGATCCCTCCCAAACAGGTGGCAGGCTGTAAGTGCCAGACTGATGCAGCTACATAGGCTGGTAGATTCGTAGAAGAGATGCTTTAATCGAGTTTGTTGCTCTACCTGTTTCCCATGCTAGAGCTCACCCCGCACAGCTTCTCTGCCCTAGGCAGCTGGGTGAAAAACAGACCTGGACTGCTGCTGTAATTAGGATGTCCTGGTGCTGCTTTCTTATGCCCCAAAGGATTAACTTGGCTCATTAGCGTGGGGCCGCAAAGATTCCTGTACCAGATGTAGGAGGAAAATTCTGAAGGTCCTGACTACCCACTCCAAGCTCAGGCTATGACACCCTGTCACATCTCGAAGCAAAAAGTGTGTTTCTGACTCAGAATGCTCTATGTACTTATTACCAACTTGCTTCTCCCTGCTCCGTCGCTAAGAAACAGATTTTGCACACAAGAATACTAACCGAACTCCAAATCATTTACAGTCAAAACAAGACCACAGCATGTTGCTGTGTCTTGTTCTCAATCCAACTATTACCTTGCAGTTCAGCAGCTCTATGAACTCCCAGACTAACAGCTTCCTAGAAGCTCTGTTGATTTTTTTTCCCTGTGACCTTTTTAAATAAACATTTGCTATTCCTAAGAGACCAGTGATTGAACAGTTTAATGAGAGCACCTGTATTTCTGCTTAAAAATGCTTCACTATAGCTTACAACAAGCAATGGCAATGGTGTTCCATAGTTTGTAGGGTTTTTTTAAGTATACCTAATACTGTTTAAAGATGCCAGAATGATGACCCAAAAGACCAGAGGGATTTTTTTCCTACAAAACGTACAGTAAGATCCGGTACAGAATGTGTTACTACTTCCACAATGTTCTTTGGCCCAATGAAACGTAACCGTCTCTAAGATTAGTACAGTCTCTGTCTCAATTTGCTCACAAGAGTTTTCTGCAAAAGTTTTCTGCACAGGAGTTTTCTGCAAAACTGGGGTTTAATGTGGATTATCAAATTACTGTGACTGCTCACATTCCCCCTATGAACAGTCTTGCCAAATTTCCCTGTGGCTCAGCCACGCTTGCTCCAATGGATGCTTCGTAGGCCTTTAAAGTGCAGCACTTAGAATAGTTCAATTTGGTTTTCCCAAGAAGTGTTTGTGTATTTTCCTTTGAGTTTTCTTCCCCAGTTTACTAAAATCTAAACCAAACTGCTAATCCACAAAAGGTTAACAAGGAAAAAGAATTAAAGCAACAGCTTAAGGTATAAAAACAACATTAATAATAAGCTATACAGCTAATGATTTATTTCTAAAACACATGCGCCAATACTTTGATTTTTGTCACTAGTAGTTATTATTGGAAATACAGTTACATCAGTCGTAGGGCTGTATGACAGTATAGGTAGACATCAGAAAATATTTTTGTGAACAGCTGACCTAGTGCTCTTTAATCTAAACCTTAAATTTGCTTAGTTGTTTTCATACTGGGCCCTTTTTTTACTATAAAGTTTAAGCTCTGCCGATCTAAGTGACATTAAAGAAGCAGATGCATCTCATACAGATTGGGACAAAAACATTCTTATTAATGTTCTATTAGGATATAGAGCTGTGTCTTCACAAGCATAAAAATCCAACAGTTTCAGACAGATCTAAAAAAGTTATGTTTTACTCAGTTTTTAATTAAGTTTTCAAATAAATTGATCTGGTTTCTCTATTATTTCAAACTTTTCTCTGTGTCATCGCTAATATTTAAACTACAGTTTAGAAGTCATTTGTACTTCAGAAATCAACCTAGTCCTGCAAAGATGCACAACGTTATTTAAGTGTGTATATGGTGACTAAACCCACAGGCTGGTAAAAAATAGGTAGGTGTCTGTTTGGTGTGATGATGGCATCATAGCTACTTAAATAACAACTAAGTAAAAGCATAGAAAGTTGTGTTCAGTATAGTGATGTACTGAATGGCTATTTGAAAGCTTGTCCATTTTTTTTCTCACCAGCAAGATTAAGGTATGAACACTGTGTATTGCCTTTGCCTATTGTATCTTTACATCGTGATGACCAGAGTGCCATGGTTTTCCAAACAGGTCTTCGCTAAGTCTGTTACTGTGTGTTACTTTGAACTGAATGAAATTCTGAAATGTGAATTTTGTGGTTTACAACACAATTTCATATGCAATGATATTTCTCAGTAGGGGCCCTATATTGTTTTGAAAACTCAAAATGCATAAAATAGATTTAACCTTTAAAAACCATCAGAAATCGCAAGTTACCATATTATTATAATGTTTATTTTATATGTAGGCTTAGAAAACCAAAAAACATTTCTCAGATAATCATCTAGAAAACTATTTGATAGCACTTTTTTCAAGATTTATCTTTTGGGCTTCAAGTTTAAGATTTGAAATTTGAAATGTTCTGGCTTTGTCTTTCTCCAATTCATGTTCTACAAAAATTTATTGGTGTAAAAAAGTTGTACTGGTATAAATGGTGCAAGTCAGTGAGGAAAAGAATGATTTGTATGGTCTAGGTACCTGATTTGCATGGAAAAAATACGGTATTTCTTTTATAATTCTTTTACTCTGCAATTGGGTGTAAGATAAGATAATTTAAATGACATACTGTCATTTTATTTTAGTTGCTTCATCTGCATGTGGCTACAATCCTGCATTCTTTTTGACCAAAATATTACTGAGGTCACACCTGTGCTTTATGGGTAACTTTTCTTTTTTTAAAGATAAACTAATTTACAGGAGCCCAAGGGGTGTGTGTGGGAGAGTCCTTTTTCTGTATGTCCTATTTTTATTTTCCTACATTTTTGCATTAGGTCTTCTTTGCATGGTTTTTTGTATTGAGACATTCTGTTACTCTTGCTGCTTATTCTTCCACCTGAAGTCATAATCTTCTGTGATATCAAACTGGCTGCTGCAGAGGAAATTATGATGGGACACACAGAAAATTATGACTGTGCGTGGGGAAAAGAATGGCAAGAGTAGAAGTCCAAAGGAAGAAAGGTCCTTTCCCTTTATTTAATTCCTCTGATTACCAGAAGAATGGTTTTGTTTTATTTGCTTATTGATTAAAACCAATCAATATAGCTGTAAAATTTTTGCTTTATGAAGAAAAAAAATAATCTTGAATTAGTTATGCTTGCTTCAGAGATAAATAGTCTTGTAATCAGTTCATCTTACATTTCTGGCAACTGTCCTTAGCCTTAACTCCAGCTGCATTCAGCGTATTGTCTCATAACTTATTCTTTAATAAATTATTGCTAAAATAGTAATTATGTAAAGTGTAAATTAGAAATGCTAACAGAACTGTCTTTTAATATATTGCCTTCAAGGACTGAAAAGATTTAGCATTGATCTTTTTGGTTAAAACTCTTGCCAGCATATTTAATGGCTAATGACAACTGATACAGCAGCATACTGGCCCTCTTACACAACTGGTATATTTGAACAAATAGTTTTAAAATGTTGTATCCAAATGGAGATCTTGGAGTATTTTTGGTAGACTCCATATGTCCTGTGTGTAGACTAAGGGATATCAATGCCAACCTAATCTCTCTTATGAGTATCTTGGGATTTCTTTTGTCTACAGAGTCAGAAGTTTGGCAGAACTTTTGAAGGGACAATTCAATGTGCTAGCATCACAATCTCCCTAATGTTATGTTGAGGGAGCAGTCAAATGAAAGCCAGCTTCAACTCCACAGTTTAATTCTAGTGGTTTATTTTTTTTTAACACAGTCCTCTTATGTCAGATACATACAGAAAAAATCCTGCCTTTCTGATTTCAGACAAAAGAACAGTGATAACATTACTGTTCAAGACTGCTTAATACTTCTAGTCAAATTCTACTAGTGGACCTGATATTTCAAGATAACAACAGATATATTTTATCAGCAATAAGACATAAAGTACTACTAGTCTCAGAATTGGCAGGTGGTTTGTTTTGGATTCCAAGGAGATTTGAAAGTGTAGTAATTTCCACTACTGAATTTTATTCAAAAATAAAGAAGCCAACCAGTACAAAAAAGTTCCTCTAGATATATAAAAGCCAGGTAACGGTCCTCAAAACAGAACGTAGCACTTCCCTCTGCCTTCCTTTTCATGTGCAATATGCTTACAGCGATTCTTCAGTTGATTTTGTAACTCAGTGCAACTCCTTAGTAATTCCATCGCAGTCAAACAAATTACTCTAGGTTTATGCAAGAATAAGTCAGAGCTGAAACCAGCCTATGCTTATTATCTCATATAGCATGTAATAAATCATGGAATCCAATTACACAGCAAAACGTCAGGCAGTTTTTCTACACTGGTAAATAGGCATTTGTAACATCCCATGCTACTAACAAAAGAAACCTGCACTTCATTTAGAATTTTTACTCCCAGGTCCTGAGTGCAATGTTGTCTCTCGGCTTCAAACTCTTCAAGAACAAGGGTGTGAACTGAGCATGGCATGGTCACAGTCTGGTGCACAACGGGGGCGCTCTGTTGGGTGCTGCTGAAAGGAGCTTGGCAAGAGGTTGAGCCTGGTATTGTGTGATGGTGGTACAGCTTAACTGAAGGAGTTTGAAGGAGCTGTGGGTCTCTACCACAGCATCCAGAGGAGCAGTCTCAAAAAGTGTGTAACACATGGGGCTTTGGAGTAGGCTCGGAAAAGCCCAAGAAGCAAAAATGAAACAACCCCCCTCAAAACTGCCATAAAGCTTACTTGTGGATCTTAGTAGGTCCTGGCAAGAGAGAAAATTATTCAGAGAAGTGAGAAAGTAGTAAGTGGCCATGGGATCTAGGAAAAGCTGGGATGAGTCTTGGCTTTGGGGTCAGTGCTATCTTTGCCTCGAATCATGAAGCTTAATGTGGGAGTAAGAGGACCTGGCTTTCTAATGCAACTCCGAGCAGTGGCGTGCAGGCTATTGTTTGTTGGTGTGCAGCCTACATGGAGAAGCTCACCTGTAGAAGATTCTTCTATCTGATTGGTTGTAGGATACAGTTTGAGAAAGACCAGAAAAGAGTTTTGTTTTACAAAATCTTTTATCTCCTTAGCAGAAGGCAACTAGCAATGCACTATGGCTGCAGAACACTCCGCACTCAAGAGGCCAGGTGGTGCCAAGATGTGGCTGATAAACTGGATGCTGTCTCAGGTAAGTGACTCCTTTTACACACAGCAGTCTTGGGGTCGAGGAGGCTTTTAAAGACCAACTTTGTTCATACACATTAAAAGGCAGGTTGAATTGGAAGAGTTGCGTATTTTGTGTTC